CACTTTTTATCTGTAGTGAAAAAATTAATATACGAACTGTTCCAGTGGTGGATTTGGTGGGCCGGTGGGGAGCGGACGCTTTGCTTCTTCAGGGATTCGATCTCCTGACCAAGCAAAGGTTCCCTTTTGTTATTTATTTATGACATCCATTTTAGGCCAACCAACCCTAAGTTTTTTAAAGGTGCTCTCGGCACCTTTGGCGCCTATTTATACTAGATTTGAAAAAAAGCTCGCGCCGAAAAAACGCAATTTTTTTTTGGTCAAACTTTTCGAAACTTTTTGCTTAAAACTGGGTCATTATAGTGTTCTGGGAGTGCTCGGCGGAAAATCAATTTGGTCGACCTAAAAAAATTCGACAAAATGTTCAAAAATTTTTTGAAAAGCCGCCCCTCTCAAGAGAATTCTAGGTCCGCTCCTAGGCTGTTCAGCTCATTAGAGAGAACAGTGGTTGCTCCGCTGCTAAAGAACTACTTGCAACTTTTGCTTTTGAAAAGCGATATTTTTCTTTACTGAACACCGAGCAACAAGCAGGGGTCAAAAGAAGCCTTTAACCGACGACTTTTCGACAAAGAGATCAAATCCTAACCATTTGACCCACACTCACTAAAGTGTCACCGGGCGGTCTATAAATCAGCCGACGTATAAATCAGTCGAAATGTCATCCAGCCGAAAATACGTAAGTGTTATGGAATCGTTATATATCAATTATGTAACAGTTACGAAAGTTTCCAAATTCACTCATATGATTTAACTTTTCGGCTGTTTTATACACGCTGCGTAAAAATTTCAATTTGGCAAATCTAAAAACTCAGTATCATAAATTTATTTTCAATAACTGTTTTGTATAAAAACTGTACAATTTATAAAATCTATGTACAAATATATTCTAATACATTTGTTCGTATTTTTTAAGACAATTAAGGGGTTATTAAATCTGTTCGTCGTGATTCTGTGTTTGATGGTGAACAAAACCATGCAGAATTTCAGTTTGATTCTTACCGACAGAACAATCTCCATAAACTGAAACAACAACCAGATTAGTCAACCACATTGAACAAGAAATGAAAAAGCAAGCAGGAACCCGCATCCAGTTTCAAGCGTTAATAATCGATTATATTACAATTTTAGTACCAGTCTCGCTAAAATTGAGAAACAGTCGATTTTAATCAATTAATAATCGATTATAATCTTTTTTTTTTCAAATCAAATTATAATTAATTATAATCCATTATAATCGATTATTTATTCGTCTATTTTTCGATAGAATTATAATCGATTATAATTGATTATAATCCATTATTTTTATTCAAAATTCTAATTCATTAGTTTTGCAAAAAATCCATTATAATCGTTTGTTTGTCCATTTTGTCTTCGAAGTTGCATCTAAATTGCTGATATTTTATGGTTTTTGTGGACGTTGGTTCCTATGAAAAATGAGAGAAAATTTTTCAAAATTTTCCAATTAATTCATTTTTATAAGTTTTTTTTTTCCATTTCATCCCTATTAGAGTTGTTTTATGATGCGTATTTTAAGCTTTTATAAACACCAAAACATCAGCAAATTGATTTAGTTTCATGATTGATTCGGAAAAATTATCTTTCATCTACCGCGAGAACCTTTCCAGTCATATGAAAGGATCTCTGTGAAACTTTTGTTTCGTGGTAAAACTTTGTGTTCAGATGAACCAAAGTGTTCAAGAGATCTCTCTTTTAGAGATTTTCTTATTGACACAAAAATAATAACCCATAAGATACAATTCGAAAATCGGAAAATTCCGGCAAAATAAGAGATTATAATCGATTATAATCGATTATAATTGATTTTAAGGGTTTTTAGTAAGAACTATAATCAATTATAATCGATTATAAGAGATTATAATCTCTTGGAAAATATCACGATTATAATCAATTATAAATCCCTTAAGGACCTAATTTTGGTAATTATAATCAATTATAATTGTCAAAAAATCATCATAATAATCCGTTATAATCGATTATTTACGCCTAAACTTGGATGCGGGAAGTAAAAAGTAAAACCATAATAAAACACAGAGGGCACCGAATCCTTACAAGCACCAGCCAATCAGAAGCTTAAGGCTTTAAAACTTAAGAACTGGGCTTTGAAAAATCATATTGACATTATAGGCACAACAAAAATGAAGCTCGAATTGTTGCCCAATTTTTAGAATAAACAGAATCAGAAAAATAGCCCACAGACAGAAAAGCGTTGATGAACTCGAAGAAAATAAAAATATACGTATATTTTCAGCTTTCAATATTCAAAAATATATATATATATATCAGTTTATGGTTCTTTAACTTCATGACTTTATTATTGAAATTTCTGAATAATTTCAATGAACTAAATCATTTTCAAAAAGTTGAATCAACGGTATATTGTCTATTCCGCTGAGAATTCTACAAAATTCATTTATAACTACAAATCAAGTTGTTTTTTGGGCCATTTGAACTTTTGATATTGATGAGCATAACTCGTCTTCCTTTCTGTAGATAAAGTAAAGTCGGTAGATAAAATAAAATTGAAAAATATTAATTTTCAAAAAACCGATATAGCAGCTTGAGTCTGAGCAAATTTTGAGTTTTTTGAGGAAACAAAAAAAATCAAAGCAACATAAAATTTTTACCCGGATAGACGAAACATTTACGAATACATGAAAAATGCTTCTTATACAACTTTGTATAAGAAAATGTTTATCATAGAATTTCACACACAGAGTTAAAATTTTAGATGAAAATTATATGACTAGCAGTTTTAAATTAAGTTTTCACAAAAGAAAAATATCCATTCTATGCTCAAATAAACATGTTATGAAAATAAATAGCATGAAGAAAGTTGTGATTTTTGTGTTAACGTAATGCAAGCTGAAGTTTTCGCGCAAATGAAACAAATTCGACTATGATCTTTTGAGCGAAACCAAACTTGAAACTCTTTTTGGCAAACTATTTTATTCTGTCGAAAAAATTAGGCCACGATTTTCGACTAGCAACATATTTCGAGAAGAAAGTTTCTAGCCACATACAAAAACTAACTGTTCTTTTTTCATAATTGTGAATGAAATATACTTTTCTGTACCTATGAAATTAAATGCAATTTTATGGTAAGAAGTTTTTCGTATATGGAAATTCTATGACAAGAAGTTTTGATCAACTGGGGTACCTATGAAAGCTATGAGAACTATAGCCATGGATCGTTTAAATCATTTTTAGAAAAAAATTGTCTCCGTGAGATGTCTTTGCGATGCAACAAAAACATTAAAAAAATATGAGAAATTGAAAAAAAATGAAACTTGTTGAAAAAAAATAGATGAACCAACAATTTCGCATGTCTCAATGAAAATAAGTAGGGGCACCAAAAAACTGGAGGTACGTGATTGATTTTTTTTGAATTTGCTATACTGGTGCTGGACCAAACGCGAATTTTCAAAATTTGGATTTTGCCCAAAACCTTTGTTGTTTCTCTAATAAAATTGAGTGAAAAGAGCAAAAAATTTTGAGATATTGAAACTGTCCAAAGACAAAACAGTACTTTAAAAAAAAAATAGGAGTCACCGTTTGTGGATGAAAAGTTTTCGCAACCGTTGCTTTCAATTAATTTTTTCATCATAAAATTGATATGGTAGTGGTTAAGAAAAATCAAAAGCTTCTAAAAAACGGTCAAAAATTAAAAAAACTTGACTTTTAGAAATCCAGAGTTTGTTTCTGTGAAAAACAGATCGTAACTGCCTAAGTCGAGAATATTTCAAAAACCGAATTTCTCGATTGTTTATATAAATTGGCTCGGTAGTTTTCGGTCTTTTGGCTCGGTAGGAACGGTCTTTTTTTCAAAATTTTAACTTTTTTGAAAGCCATTAATTTTTTCAAATAAATTTGGCCGTTGCAAATTATATATCTAGGCTTTCATCAAATCTATTGTTTCGAATCAACCTATGATACTAGATTTGGCAGGTTAGTTATCGAGAAAAGTTTAAAAAAACGGTCAAAAAATCAAATTTTCAACATTTCTGAAATCATAGCTTTTTGTGCGAAAAACTTGGGCATAAAGATTTATGCAGAAGAAAATCATGCAACACCCAAAAACTCAGACCTTATTTCGCCCTGAAGCAGAACAAATTTTTGGCTATCAAATGAAGCTATTTTTATTGTCACAGCATTGGGGAGATGGGATCTAGTATTTTCTCGAAAGGGGGGGGGGGCTGATTTTCAAAAAAGAATCAAAAATTTTTTCAGGTCGGCCAAATTGATTTCCCGAGCTCTCCTAAAGCAGTAAAAGACGCTGTTTTGGCCAAATTGTCTGCGCGCAGTCAATTTTTGAAAAAATTGGTCAAAAAAGCCGTTTTTGGGCACTTTTTGGAAAATTTTGAAGAAAAAAAATCGAGTTTTTTTGGCGCGCGCTCCCCCTCAAAGTTAGTATATATTGGCGCCGACGGCGCTTTTAAAAAAGTTTAAAATTTTAAGGTCAGTTGGCCAAACCAAAAATGGATTTCCTAAAAAGTACCACGGGGGACCCTTTGGGTTGGCAGGGGGTCGAATCCCTGAGGGGGGAAACGTCCGCCCCCCCCCCCCTAAATCCGCCCCTGCTTGTCTTATGTTTTGCTGTTTTCCATAAGAATCTTACTTGAATATAGTTTTCTCAGAAATTGACCCGGAATTTTCAGCGTAACTCTTGATTTTCAAAAAAAAAAACTGAAAATGATCAACTTTATAGCAGAACTCTGTTCAAAATAAATTGCACCATATAATTCAGTTAAATTTCTAAGCAATTTCTCGTTTTTTTATCTGTTGTCAAACCATCCCATTTGCAGACCTGGGTTCAAAATTCAAATTAGTTTTTTTTTCGGTTAATCGAAATTAGCAAATTTTCTGCAAATTTATTCAAAAGCTAGGGGATGCCCTCGTGCAGGAAGGCCCGAATGAGCAAAAATTTTGTCAACCAATAAAATTTTACTATTCAAAAAAATTCGAAAGAATTGAGCGATAAATTTTATGAGTTTTTGACGGTTTAAAAGGCGTTGATTGGTTGAGAATTTTCGAGCGTTCGGTCTTTTGCACATGAGAATAGCCCCCATAAGCTGCAGCTCAGAAATAGCAGTCGAGTTTGGCGAATTTAGTTAAACGAGTACCAAATACAGACAGCAAAGTTTTAATAGATGGGAGCATTAGGAAAATTTTAGTGGTCATACATGTATGTCATGGCATTTAATTTTAACGTTGAATGATAATTTGTCATTTCAAATTAGCGGATTCTAGTTCTGTATTTCTGAAAAAAGTTATTTTCGCTGTATATGTTTTTTGTAACAGTAACAGCCGCCAGCAATCAAAGCCAGAATCAGAAAACTGTGGACCATTTTGCAACCCAGATGGTCTTTTTTCTTCAAGCTCCTGACGAGAAATGACTTGATCGAACTACTTTGGGCCTCATCAAACCTGTAATATTTTTTTTTAATCTTGTCAAATATAGAAAAACTTTTTTGCAATGGAAACTAAGCACTGTTATCTACAAAACTGGGAAACCTTTTTACCTATTCTCAAACTTCTTCTTCTTTTTTAAAACAAATGATTTCGTGGATACTTTTGTGGTAAAAATAGAACCAAAAAACGGGAGTTTTAATTGATTTTTTTTTTCAATTATTTCGATGGTTTTTAAGGAACTATTTAGTTAGCTAAAATGATTTATTTACTTCTAAAATTCTAGGCCTGCTGAGGTGCCTATTTTTTTGCAAAACATTGTCTCGAGATGTTTTCTGTGAAGATCACACAACGATAATGACAGGCTGAAAAAAGGCGCGATGTATTTTTGATCGCACCTGTGTCGCGCCATTTTTTTTGCATAATCCGGCATAATTCTTCTAAATTGTGGTATAAATTGTTGTTTATTTTTCCAAAAAATGCTGACTATTCGCTGAAAAATCCATATAAAAATATAACAAGTTTTCTTTAGGGGTAATGAATTTGTGAAGGTACCAACCATCTGCAACAACAACCCCAGCAAGTTGCTCCCCTGGCCGACTTCATGTCGTCATCAGTCTCGTCACCCGACTCCACTAGGTGCGTCGCCAGCACGCTCCCCCCTCTGCCCCTTCCATCCCTACTCTCCACCACAATGTGACCTTCAGTCTCTTCACTCTTCGAGTCAAGGTCAACTAGGTGCGATCTGTCCCCCGCAGTTGCGTCGGCGCTCTCGATGTCGTGAAACGACTCGTACTGCTCCGGGTGGAAAAAGTGGTCGCTGACAGTTTGCGAGTTCCGAACAGGTCCTTTATGGTCTGCTGTGTTGCCGAAGCTGTCGAAGTCGAAGTCATCCTGAGCACTTTGCAGTTCCTTCCCTGATCGTGATTCTTCCACAATTATTTCATCTTCGTCGTCTAGGTCATCTCCGACAACAGAACTTGAGGCTGATGTCGATGACTTTGGTTTTCTATCCGATTTAGGCTTCTTGTTTTTCCTCTAAAAAATTCAACATCACAATTAAACATTTACTGTTTTGATTACCTAGGAAATGGAAACTTGCTCACATAAGCCACAGAAACTATTTCTTGTCATATAAATTTCCGATTTTTTTGAAATTGAGAGAAATGGCCAAAATAAGGGTTGGTTGGTCTTTCAAATTTCCAGTTTTTTGAAATTGAGAGAAATGGCCAAAATAAGGGTTGGTTGGTCTTTCAGGTGGGACCAAAAACAGAAGGACTCTAAGATCTTCAGAATCAGCATGCCAGTTTGGATACTTCATTCTGCGCAGTCATGGTAAGAAAACCTTGATACTCTTATTGTATGTATGTAATGGCGAAGCTTTTCTGCCTACTCATTCATTCAATCCTTTGTCCACTCAAAGGGTCAACGCTTTGTAACTATTTTATGACATCATTTTTTTTCGAAAAATAACCTTGAATTTTTTCTGATGGGCGCATTAGGTTTTAATTTGCATTTAATATGCGGATAGCGAGCCAAAATAGGCATTTTTCGACTCAAGCATGGTTGTTACCAGTGCATTCCTTGAATTTATATGAAAAAAAAAACAAATTTTAAAATTTTTTAATAAACAGCATTAAAAAATCAAAAATAGCAAAATAAAGCAGGCAAAATTTCTTGGAACTCATATACTTAGCCAAAACCGGAATACACTGAAATGTTTTTTAGTTCGAACAAAAATTTCCAAACTCTAACCAAATTTTGTGCTGCGGTGACTAAGCCGACAAAAAAGCAGACAAACAGAAGTCCGACAAACATACAAAATCTTGTTGACGCGCGGAAAATTTCCAGTTAAAAAAAGCTTCTGGCCAAATTTGAACCATTGACTTTTGTCTTCATAAGCAGGTGCGTTACGTCTTTGCCACATGCGCGAATTAACTTCTGATTTTTGATTTCATACCAAACAAAGGTGAAATAGTTTCGACAAAATTGTAATATGTTTAACGATTTGTCTCTGGAATCCAGGAACCTACAGATACAAAATTGTGCGCCAATCCAGTGCACAGTTTGGCCTCGTAATGTTTCTCAATTCGAAAATAAATTTCAACTAAATCTTCAACCTTTACTGCAGACTCCTAAATTAAACTGTAAGCATGATTCACTCGTCTTAAACTTTTTTACACTACAACAAAAATTTCTTGATAGTTTTAACAAAAAAAAACATTTTTTTTTTCAAATTGAGAATCATAAACTCACATAAAAAGAAAATAATAAATGAATGGTTAAATTTAGTCGACTAAATGTAAAACATATTTTTAATTTTTTTGTTCAAAATAGTAAAGAAAAACGCCAAAAAATCAAGCGGAAAAAAGTTGGTAGCTCTTAAGCACAGGTCAATTAAGCAGAAAACACATTGCCAAATATTTTCTGGAAACGAATTGCAAGTCATCAACTGAAACTTTTTCTTAAGAATGAATAAATACATGAGAACAGAAAATAAGTGAAAGTGAATAAGCATGCAAAAATTGAAGGAGTGAAAAGAAAGCATGAGAATTGTTTCTATTAAACAAAATCCTTAGAGAAAAAAAGACTGTAGCCAATTTTATATCACTTTCCAAGTACAAGCTAAAAAATCGTCCACTTTCAGTAAAATGCAGTGAAACGTGATTTTACAGATGTTATATTATAACAGAGTTATTGCCCATTTGAAACTTGTGACGAAATTTTCAGGACAATCAGTCACAAAAAACAATCAAACATCAGAACTAAGTGTCTAGAAGAAATACTTATAATACGGATTCCATATATTTTGATAAAATGGTGTCAAAAATTTATCGAAAAAGTATTTTTTCGATAAATCACAAATATTTGTTTTCTAATACGCGTTATGTATTTTTGTGTTTTGGCTGATAACACACGAAACAAAAATTTTGTCAAATAATTTTGCAGATAGGCTGCTTACAGAGATTGGCTACCTGCTGCGACAAAAAAATCACACAGAAATAAAAGTTAAAACCACAAATTTTTTCATTTGGCTAGAAATTTTTTACTGAAAAAATTACTGGTTCGAAATCGTGCACTGTTTTGTTTGGCCAGGATTTAAAAGTTTTTTCCGGAAAACATTTAATTGAGTATAGAAATGATTTTGAGATTAGAAAAAATCCTTTAGAAAAAAACTTGAAAGATGAGCTATATAATAAAGGCATGTAGCTATATGAAAATATTATAATAAACATTTCCATACACTTCATGAACTGATTTATATGATAAACCTTTTTCTCTAATGGAATTGAAAGATAATCATTTTTTTATATGATGGTCAATTCGGGTGAGATTCCGCAAGTGGGCCATAGCCTTATTAATCATAGACAATCAACATTATGTTAGGTTTGCCACTAGTTACCTAATTGCAAACATTGAGAAACAGTTGCGCGCCGCATGTGGCCGATTACTTGGAAGGCCGAAAAAAACATCTGCACCGGATGAAAATTTTCGAAATTTTTTGACCTTTTTATAGGTCGACCAAATTGATTTTTCGAGCTCTCACAAATCACTACAAAGACCCTATTTTGACCAAAATTTCTGGGCCGCAGACAATATTTTTTAAAAACAGGCCAAAAAGGAGCATTTAGAAAAACTTAGGGTCCGCCAGCCAAAAATAGATATCTTAAATTAGTACAAAGGAGAACCCTTTTGGTCGGCAGGGGGTCGATTATCCGCGAGTTCGGTCATGAGAAAGCGAACCGCTCTAACGAGTACTCACCACTCTTGCGCCCAATCTGCCGAGTGCGAGGGCGACTTCCGCCCGACTGGCAGTATCCTCCAAGGAATCTGCTTTTGCTTGCAATTCCGGGTTAGGCGCCTAAAACAAATAAGGTGTTAAAAATTTGAAGGTGCTCTGTAACTACACCCCCTCCCCAAAAATTAATTCCCAACAGTTAAGCATGTGATTTTGTGTCTGGTAACGAATCTCTCCTCCTCCCCCTTTCGCAAACAGGGGGTACTAGTTGAAGATTAAAGATATCCAACTTGCGGAAATGTGAAAAGTTGATAAGAACCAAAAACTAAAAGCTTTTATTCATTTATTTTTTTCAAATGCGACCGCTGAAAATAAAAACAGCGAGGTACTAGTTCGGCACAGAAATCATTACAAAGTCAGGCGAGGCCAGAAAATAGCCAATTAGTCAAAAACATGCAATGCTCGACACAAAAGTTATCAATTTGTTGTTGAATATCTGGGATTAAAATTGTATTATATTTTCTAACCTAAAACAACCTCGCACTTGAAAAAAAAAGTAACTTGAAAAAATTTCTCGAACATTTCTTACCTGCTCTCGACTCATTTTTGATGCTTCAGAAATTCTCGAAACTGCGGTAGTTCAATCAATTCTCTCTCATATACACGAAGGTGATAAAAGCAAAGTCAGTTCGTTCAATGATCTGGTCTCAAGTAACCAACAAGAGAAAATATTTAATAAAGCGTAATTAAGAATAACTCAACTTCATGTATTTAATTATTTTTTACTGTCGTGCGGCTTTTAGTGATTACAAAAGCATTGAACAATACAATAAGCGCAACGTAAAGTATAAAATTTTTATCTGGCTACTAATTCAAAAAAGCACTTTTGACCCCAAATTGAATACCTGTCCCGTTTTTCCTTAAATGAACTTGCCAATTACAGTTTTCTGTTTCGGCTTTGAAAAGTAACGAAATATTTGTATCAACTGTGATTTTTTTTGGTTAGACGCAAAATGCACACTGAAGATGCTTACAATACGATAAATCATACATTAATACTTTGTCATTTAAAAGGAAACTGTCGTCGCGATAGTACAACTTTACGGGATCATGTTAACTTAATTGGAACTTTAGGTGATTTTGTTAGCTATTTCCCCCCTATTGCAAAAGGACGTAAATTTGTTACAAGGCACAAAACTCACATATGCTAAATATTAAAAATGAAATGTCCATGTAAAGTCATCCTTATAAGCAGATGAAGAATTCGACGTTACGTGTTTAAGTTTTACCAAATGCCTTGATTTTAGCGCAAGAAATTATATGCAGCCCAGTATATCAAAAACAGTTTTTATTTTTGACATTGTGACACTCGAAAATTTCGGTGATTGTTTGGAATTTTAACAATTCCGTTTTTTCTTTATAATAAAAAATTGTTTTTGTTTCTAAAACATATCTAACATTTCATCATTATTTATATATTCTTTTTACAAAATGAAGATCATTTTAGTAGATCGCCATTAGACACTGTTTCAGGCCTCTATCATTTTTTTAGACTTTTGTATAACCAATTTCATTTGTTTTAAAAAATCTTCCAATTTTTATTCACAATTTTAACTTTCCACTCCAATTTGAATGATGATTTACTCAAACCAGATTAATCTATATTCTTTTTCTATAAATTATTGGTGTTATTAAATTATTATAAATGTAAATAGTAATTTTAAAAAAAGTATATATAAAGGCATATATATTTGTATATTTAAAAGAATATTGCAATCAATGACAAGTTTTTGAGTTTTCAGCTTCCGTTTTTTGACCTTAATAATTTCAGCTTGATTGATATTTTTATTTATGAATTCTGAAGAGGACTGTTTTCTCAAATTTTTAACTAATAGTTTCAGTGGTTCATAAACGTGGAGTTCCTTTACGGTATAAAGTCGTTTTTGATTTCCAATTTGTTTATTTGACTGATTGCGTTTCTGAAAATAGCAATGTTTTTATAAAAATCCGTATCAGCATAACAAGTACGCCGTATTGCACAAATGGTTTAACCTATGTTTTGTATATTTTATCAATTGATTTGTTTTAAAACGCTTTCTAAGTTGATAAAACATCCCACAAAATTTGCTTAATTTATTTTTTGCTTCAAACACACTATTTATTTCACAAACTTTTACACCAGAAGGAGCCATTTTCTGGAAATTTTAATAACCTAAAAATATCGATGACTAATAGTAAGTACACAATAATTTTTTGTTAGAATTTGAAATTGCTGACTTCTTTGATAGAACTAATTAAACTAACCTTTTTATCGTTTTCTGTTGGTCCAAACCCTTGGCGGATCTAAAATTCATTTTTTTTCTTAAATTCTAAAACTCAATCTAAGATACAATTTTTTATGGTGAATTTTTGAAAGTCAGGTCAGGCATTTTTTTGAAAGTGTTGACAATAAATTGCCTTTTATCGTACCAAAATTGGACATATTCTAAAGTGACTAAGCGGATATAACATAATCCGAGACCATTTAAATACAAAAGAAACCTGTTGAAAGTCAGAGCTCGTAAATTTACAAAAACCAGAACCACTTTAAGAGATGGTAAAAATTGTTTAAAATAGATGCATTAAAAATAAAGAATAAGGAGACAAACAGTATTTCTACGATTCATTTTTTCCTATAAAATTAATTTATGAAATATTGCGAAAAACAACGTCTAGCTGGGATTCAAAACCCAGAAAATAAGGATCGCGATGCACACCTGTAACCGTTAGAACAATTGAGAAGACGTCATTATAAAGCAGGTTCATTATCTTACGGGCTTGAGAAAAAACTTTAACGGAAAAAAGTTTAGTTCCAGATTACACGACAATTGTTCTCGCAAGTACAAAATCCGAAATAGCAATAGCGTTCAAACCTCAAAATTGAAAAAACGTTTTTGGTATCATACAAAATCTAAGTATATGAAGGATCTGTAAGTTCTACAAGAAGCATAAATAGGAAGTGAAAAAAGAATGGTCAGCTTGAAAGTACAAAACTAGTGGAGACAAAAAAATAGTCATTTGCTAAATTTTTCACACAGAGTTGAAGCTGCGCTTCGCAAGCACTTGCGAGAACAAGACCAAAAAGCAGCTCTATAAAGCGAAATAGGAAACAATAGAAATAGGTCTCAAATTAGCAAAAAACTCGGCTACGTGTAGGATTCGAATCTACGACCTACTTCAATCAAGAGATTTTGAGTCCCACGCACTATGCACTCAGCCACGCAAGCTTAACAACCGACAAACACAAGCACGAATAAAGGAGCTACATATGCTAATAAATTCATAAGCAGTTCAGCAAAAGTGGCACCAAATACAACTAGACTCAATTTTCAAGTAATAATTTGGATTATAATAAACTTCAGGCATCCACACTAACTTTACAGGTACCAAATCGCAAAGCATAAAACCACATTATGTATAAATTATGCATTTCAAAAAATTGCTAGATTTATTGAGTTAGAAAAATACTGAAATCGAGTTTTTATTATTGTTATGTTGTTTGAAACAAATTACATTTTTCGGTTTATTTGATGAAATGAAAATGAATCAACTGTGTGATTTGATTAGTTTTCGAATGTGAAACACATGCTATGAAAACACTACTCTACTCTATGTTTTAATTTGAACCTCTGAAACAAAACAACTCAAACTAGGTCGAGATTTTGTACTAAGTAAGGTTTTGGCATTTTTTCCGAGTTCATAATTTAGGTAAAAATTTTGCTTCTAAATTACCTGATAGGGCTAAACTAATTTCATCAAAAAAGTAACCTTATATCTTAATCCGAACAGAAACTTCAAACAGACAGAAGCAAACAAAATCACTGTCTTATAATGTTTTTGCACTTCAAATTAACAGTTTAAGTCTCACTGAGTTTCTAAGAGAACACAACTAAAAAAATAGTCGTGTGGATTAAAAAAAAATGCCAGAAGTTAAATCACCAAAGCTAAAACTTAGATGCATGAAAATTGCGCGCTTTTTTATTATTGCACAAAAGTTTTAATTACTGTTTCAACAAGGTAGCCACGGTCTCTGAAAATTTGTGATCACTCATAATTGCAATGATAAAGAAGAACGCAGGGTTTTAACATCTAATGAAAAAAAAATTTCCCCTATTTCTGACAGAACGTACGTCACCGTTAAATTGTACTTCTTTTTTTCAAAATTGGGGCGATTTTAGCGCAAGTAGTGAAGGGACTAGAAGACAAACAAGCTTGAAAAAAAATTACCAATCACTATTTTAATGAATGATATAAAAAAAGTTGAGATGTCTCTCCTCCCCTATTGTATCTACTGAAAAATTTCCACCCCTATAAATAAATTCAGTAAAAAAGCACTAGCGCTTTGTATTGATGGTTCTATTTTGCTGCTTTCTGATTGGTCAGAAACTCGACTAACTGAACCTAGTTAACAATCTCCCCCTCAATTCTTGAAAGGGGGAGATTGTAAAATAGATCCAAAAGTCGAACTCGACACTGAGAACAGCTTCCAAAACAAACTTCAAACATCATCAAAACTTGACTGATAAATTGTTAATTTTCTTAAAAACTTCAGACAGCTTGGGTGAATTTCTTCTGTATAACCGGCTACGCCCAATTCTTTTTTCGATAACTATCGTACCAAATCTGATGTCATAGGTTTGATCGACACAACAGGTTGTTGGAAACTTATCTTTATAACTTTCTACGCCCAGTGTTTTTAGAAAAAATTTTGTTGTTCAAACAAGCTAAAGTTTTGAAACTTGCACCGTTTTTTGGAAGTTTTTTTTTACTCTGCTCAAAAATTGCCGTGCCAATTCTCCGTTTAAGTATTCAATCAAGAAATCTAAGTTTGGGAATCTTCTCTACTTTACGGATCTTCTTTACTTTTTGAATTTTCTAGAAAACTACCCCTCGTGTTCCTTTTGCTGTCTTTGTCTTTTTTGTCTGTTTCTTGTTTGACTTTTATCTATTTTGAAAATCGCTTCTAAATTTTTTTTCGCAAGTTGACTTCAAATTACGCATTCCATTTTTATAATTGTACATAGGGTTTGCAATAAAACTAAAAGTTTTTTTTAATGCTGCTGTGTTTGGCGACTTTTTTCTGTTTTTTTTTCGATTCAATTATTTCCGTCTCATTTGCTATTCGATAGCTTGAAATGCAGTGCCTGCGTCGTGATTTCCCCATTTGAAGCTTCGTTTTGCTGCTTTCTTGCTTGTTTGCGTAGGTGCAATTTCAATGTTGTGCTTTAGGTTGTCGGTCTCTCTTTACTTTTTTACAGGAGGTTCAACAAATTTTTCTTTTTCATTATGATAGAAGGTACTACGTTTATAAATACAGTATTGGTTTTGTTTCACGAAATGGTTTAGAATTCATTTTAGATTTTAGTTCTAATTTACTTCAATTCAAGTTTTTTTTGCTTTCAGTGTAGGATTTCCGAAATGATCAAACGCATCTACTAACTAAAGTGAAAGATTTACTGGAATGTTCCACAAAAGTTTTTCTCCCGATCATTTAATTTTGAAAGAAACTTTGGATCCAGTTGTTTTTCGCGAATCAAAATGTTACGTTAGTTAAACAAAAACACATCGTGCAATCTTCAGTAATACATCTGGTTGCAGCTTTCTCAGTCAAGAATCCGATTCTAACGAAAAATATTTTTAAAAAGAAAACGTTTTTTTTTTTGGAATCGAGAAAAATTGGTTCAAATATTTTCGTTTTTCAGACTTATATACAAGAAGAGTCAATTTGCTGTGGTATTTTAAGATATTTTAAGTAAAGCTACAACAAGAAAGGTTGTAGAAAATTATATTTACATTTGTGAAAAAAAAACCAAATAAAACTGATTTTTTTTGGTTTAAGTCAGTTTTCTTGTGATATTTTAAGTCGGGATACAACAACCAGGGTTGCATAAAAAACCTATATAAGTTAGAAAAAAATCAAATGAATAGCTTTTTGGATTTAGACCAGTTTTTTTCATTGTTAATCTGATTTTTCGAAAACTGCCGAGTATCTTAGAAAAGCCAAAAGTAGTGCTAGAAAATCAAGTTAAATTTTTGAAATCAAGTTAATTATGGAAACAATTTCAGTTTTGGTTTACAACAGTTATACAAAAAACTAGTTTTACAGAACTGGCGGGTGATAATTAGCGGGTAATTGGCGGAAGAAACATGCCACTAAAAATGGAATTTCCTTTGATTTAAATCGTACAAAACCTCTGATTAAAATCAAAATTTAAATCGGATTTAATCAATGATTTAAATCAAGCAACCCTGCCCAATGTTTGCCCCTCAGACAATTACACCACGCCCGCTCCCCCTCAGAACCAGTTAATCACTTTTCCACCAAAACCAATCCCCTTTCCGAGTTGTAATTTTGAAAACCCTCTATCGCCCCAGCGTTTCGGTGAATTTTTTGAATATATGGATCAAAAATGCAATTATTAGAAAACTTTCACCAGGAGACTAAAAATTACAGCTCGCTATTTCTCAAAAATGTTAAATACAAACGCGCAGCATCAGAGAGAACACGACAAAAAACGGCTTTATAAAGTTCAATAATAAGAGTACAATTAAGCCTCGAATTAGTGAAAATTCGACTACGTCTCGGATTCGATCTTCCACCTAGAGATGATGAGTCAATTTTAATGAACACTGTTTTTTCTTCGCGTGTTAGGTTAGAAAAAAAAGAAGATGCGTACTTATATAATTTGCATGTTAGCTCGCTAGAGTAATAAAAGCAACAATCCTTTTTCAACAGACTATAATAGAAAATTTTCATTTTTTTTTAAAGAAATTGACAGAACTCAAATTTAATCGGACGGAACTCCAGTTCAGAAAATACCGCAATCAACGATAACATTGCTCTAAATACTGCATAAATAAAAAAAACTTCTCGTATATCAGAGCAAATTCTTATCATAGTTTAATCCATATCAAAACTTTTGGGGAAAAAATTGAAAAAATATAAATTGTGGACAATATCAAAGATCAAGTAGGAAAATTCGAATCTACGAAACTACTACGACCAATTAGCTAGCTTGATCTCAACTAGAAATAATTGCGGAATTATTCGCCACGCATACTCGCTTTACACTTTCAGCGTTATGACTAAAATCTTCAAGTGTGCATAAAGTAGTCCATGGTCAACTTGACAATTTATAACTCGCAGAACTTTGCGAAATGATCGTAGGTAAAATATCTTTTCATATTTGATTTCAGGGATACAATATCTTCTATAGGGTTTGAAAATTTCATGTCAAAAACTATTAATTCGATTGCCGCAAATTGCCTGAATCAAAAGGAAAAACCCAAGTGTTTTATTGGAAGTAGGAAAAAAATTTGAACTAGAAAGAATTCATAAATTTTTCGCAATGATTTTTTTCCTTTAAGAAATGATTGAAAGTTGTTTTCTGTTACAATGCTTATTTGTTTTTTCAGTGCATTTTTTTGATAAAATTAACCCAATTTGAGAAAACTGGATCAAGAAAACTGAAAATTCAATTTATTATCGAAATTAGAAATCAATCACGTTTTTCGCGGTCTTTACTTTTTTCTGCTGGATTGTGGAGTTTGCCTACCTTCACCAATTTTAAAAGATTTTTCATGAAAAATTACCATGACCTATCTAAGAGTATTCACAATGTTCACGACTTTTTACAATAGATTTAAGGCAATAGATATTTCAATACATACAAATTTACAACTGCTTAAAAATGTACAGGCTAAGTTAGTTTGAAGTTCGACAAATCAATCACTACTAGTGCCTTCCTTCTTTCCATTCAATTTCATTCTTCAAAATCTTTACTTCTGCAAAATGCTCCACAAGCTGAAACAACGGATTAAGTGCACAAGAAACAGTCAAAATTTTGCAAAAAACTGCATAATTTAACAAAAAAAACTTCAATCGACAAAACCAAGTAGATTTTTAAAATTCATCTGAATAATGGTTAGATCGAAGACAATTTTTAATCATAAAACGGAGTAAACCAATTGAAAACACTACCAGGTCCCATTGATTTTATATATTTAATTTAAATAAATATTTATAAAGCGAGTTTCAAATTAAGGCGATATTACCATATCTGCAAGCACATTGAATTTCCACGTTAGCAGCTCGTTCTCGTGTTTCAGCGCCAAGTTCCTTTCTTTTAATTCTGCTAATCTACTTCCTACGGGAGGACTGACATCTGGTAAGGAATTGGAGCCTAAACATCCATCATCATCTCACATATTTTACACCGTTATATTGAACTTGACGGTAGCGTAAAAAGTTTCTCTCATGGTTTTTTTTGGTGATATGTTACAATAGGTGGTAATTTTGAGTATAGTGCATGTATTGAATCTGAGAAATATTTTGCATATTGGAGTCATTTCATATTCAACCTATTGTACTACTTACTAAGATAATTTTTGTAAATAAATTAGTCTGCCAGGTGAAAATGTTATTCAAAAATTCAAATTTTACACTTCATTTGCCAAAAAATTAGCTTTTGAAATAAATAAAAAAAATGCGATCCAGCTGTTTAAATTAAAACTACCACCTATTGTAACATATCACCGTTTTTTTTTCGCGAAAAAACTGTCAAGCCGTCTAACATATTGATTGCAGGGCAGTGTTCTACATCTTCTTGCAAAGGCCTGAAAGCTGTCATTTACTGGCACCCATAAAATCTTCCCATTCAAAGGCTCTAGGAATAAACTTTCTGATATCCTCCACAAATCAAATCAGCATATTTAAATTGAACTCACACGAACCTTAGTTCAGGGGTTTCTCAAAGAGATTTTCCTAAAACACCTCATTTACTATACATGCGTATGTTGAGGGTAATGAGCAGGCAAAAAGAATTTTAAATTAAAATCACACAATCATTAATTTGAAAAACAGTTCTTTCAAAATCGAATCTCACAAAGTTGTAAAATGTGTTGCTCTGAGTTGAACTTGACGCTACCCACGCTGCCTAAATTGAGGGTCGGCTCAGACCAATCGTCCACATTCAGATCAGCTGTGTCTCCTTTGGCCCGAATGTCCACGAGAGACTGTGCTTTTCGTTTCAGAGAACGCCTCAGATGAAAAGTCATTTGGACCTGAAATAAATATACTTTACAAGTAGCTATGCTGTTGATTAGGATCTACTTAACAATCTCCACCTCTTTCAAGAAAGGGGAAAAGATTGTTAAGTAGATCAAAATGGTCGATTTTTCGACCAATCAGAATGCAGCAAAATCAGAATTCTCAATAGAACGCTCAGTGCTAATTTACTGTATTTATTGATAGGGGTGCAGATTCTTAAGTAGGTACCATAGAGGGAGATATTGTTAAGCAGATCCGTTTATTGATTTATTACATAGTCAGGACTGCAAAAGCCAATCCGATGAAAAATAAAGCCAAATAGTTGACATCATGGCTTGCATCGGCAAACAATCAAATAACGAAGAAAATGAAAAAAAAAGTTAGGGGCAAATCGATGTATTTCAAATATGGTTTACACTAACATAGATGTATACCGAGACTAAAATCTAATTACAAATTTGTTTTAATTACAAAGTTTAGAATTTATACAGACTGCAAATTTTATACAACAAATAATTTTACATTTTTTTCACATGTTCGCAAGTTCTTTCTCCAGGGTCTGTACACTGGCCGAGTGTTCTGTGACAAGATCGAGAAGCGTTTCTATCTGCAGTTTCAGCAAATTGTTCTTTTCCTCCAATTCTGCATTTTCCTCTTCTATTTTGGCACATTCCTTTTCATCTTCGCCATGTGACACTGAAACATATGATTTAATTCGATCGCCAGAAGTTGGAAAAATCTACATGGAAAGAAAATCAACTTCAGACTACAAAAAACTGCAACTATGGGATTCGAGCTCGGACGTCCCGGCCAAGAGTCACTTGCCTCACCCGCATAGCCATAAAAGTTTTGTCTCGCAATACAATCCCATGCAGCAAAAGAGCATGCTTTGAAGTCAAACTTAAGAATGAAGGACAATTCTTTCAGTTAACATGAGCGAATTTGTCTGAATCTTATAAAACTACGCTCGCGAGATCGCTAGTGCAAAGAACTATTTCATAAAGTTAATGCCAAATTGTTGGCAATATCCTTTTTGGTCAACGAATCTGAACAAAGTTAATTAACCTTGAACTGTTCATTTCAATGTCGTATTTCTGTTTTTCGTTGATTTCCACACTTAAAAATTCGTGTTTTGAACACGGTTTTCAAGAGCAATGAACGTAGTCAAGACTCTTATATAGGTCTTGGCAACCAGGAAAGTCTTCAAATGCTCGAATAACTACAGATGTGCATTCATACATATTAATGCATTCATTAATGCACTTAGGCAGGAGCGGATCTAGGCACTTAGGCAGGATTTCTCTCGTGGGGGGGGGGGGGGGGGGGGGGAAGGGATTTTGTCGATACTTTTGTAGGTCGCCCGAAATGATTTTTCGAGCTCCCCAAAGCACTAAAAAGACCCTGTTTTGGCCAAAACTCCTGCACCGCAGACAAAATTTTGAAAAAGAGGCATAGCGTTTTCAAGCACTTTTTTTTGGAAAAATTTAACCGAAAAAATCACGTTTTTTTGGTGCGCCCTCCCCCCTAAAATTAATATATATTGGCGCCAAAGGTGCCTTTAGAAAAATTTTTGGATCACGCAGCCAAAAATGGATATCCCAAAATAGTTTACTTGCGTTCATTACTCTTTTCCAACTGACAGATGGGAAAGAGTAATGAACGCAAGTAAACAAAAAACTGACTTAGCTGAAAAATGTCAACTTTCGAAATTTAAATTTAAAAAAATAGATTCCCTTAGAGTTCTTTGAGTTTCTAAAAAAACTTATGATTGGCGCTTTTTTGATAACATTAACCCAACTAGAGAAAACTGGATCAACCGGTAAAGTTTTTATTCCGCTGGAAACACAAAGTTTAAATTCTACTTTCGAAACTAGAAATCGTTCACGTTTTTTTGTGCCATTTCCACGTTTGTATTTGAGGAGTGCTATTTAGGTCACTTTCAGCAGATGCATTTTAATTGAACTCAAAAAATGCATATACATCTAAGTGCGTTCATAACCGCATTAATATGTATGATTGCATGTCTGTAGCTATTAGAGCATTTTAAACTTTTTCCTGAAAAAAATACCAGGACCTATTTAAGAGTTTTTAATACGTTCATTACTCATTAAAACTGAGTTCAAACACGAACTAACCTAAATTGGTGTCGTTTTTAATTGATTAAATTGCCCTAGATCAAAGATATTGCCAACAATTCGGCATTAAAAATACTTTGATTATTAAAGGCTTTAACTTCCAGAGCAAAATTTCAGAAACCTTTTTTAAAAAGAGTCGTCTTGAATATTATGAAAAAGTCCTCTCTCACAGCCTCGAAAACTACGAAATCAAAAAAGAAGGGAACTTACTCCACAATCCCATCCTACGGTATCTACTTAAGAATCTCCACTCCTCTAAATAAACAGTAATTTAGCGCAAAAGCTTTCTATTGAGAACTCTAATTTTGCTGCAATCTGAGTGTTCTAGACTATGACTAATTTGAATCGTAGATGGATTGCTGGGTCGATACAATTAAATCATGATAAGTTACCTTTTTTCCAGGCTCCATTGAGAAACACAAGTTCCCCACTGTTAGTTCTCAATTTTGCTCCTTTTAACTGCGATGCTTCGTGCTTGTCTCGTTCAAATTCCGCTCTTGTATCTGGCTCGTTGACTGATAGCTCATTGAGAGATTCTGCTTTTTTCCTGCGCTCAGGCACTCGCTTCGGTTGAAAAGGATTAGTACCAAATATTCCCATTTTATTTGAATATCATTTAACTAAAACAAATTTTTTGCTCAAAACTCTATATTCTGAAATGTTACTTACTTTCAATATAACAAACGACTCAATATTTGAGGTACTTAAATCTTCAGTTTATGATCACCACCCTAAAACATATTTCCAGTTACGTACACTGACGAAAAATTTACCGTCAACATTTTAAAAAATAGCATTTCGGTATTTTCTGCAAAAAAAAACATAATAATTTCATAATTCAGAAATTGGTACATATGGCTGAAAAAGATAGCTCTTCAACACGCACACCGACTTACTAACCATTTATTCTAACTATTTCCCTCGAATACACCAGAGACCTCTAACATGATAGAGAACTAAACACAGTTAGAGGGCTCTCCTTTTTCTGATTTCTCCTTCTTCCGGGTGGAAATCGGAACCTGAGCTATTGGAGGGCTACCAGGAGCTTCATACAGACAGCGAATTGGAACTGCAAACCTTGAGAAATGAATTCAAAAACAGGGAAAACCTGCCAGCTGTTTTTTTTAGACTTCGAGCCATGTAACATTCGCCCAGACATTACACAGTGACGGAGCGTAGAAAAAAACCCTAATGACGACTGGCTGAAGTCAGTTACCTTGATCCTACTCGTTTATAACCATCTTGACCTAGCCAGTTGTTTTTCTGGTCTGTTTAGGAGCTAACTTTAAGTTACCATTTTTAGGCCATCAGCCAAACGACTTTTGATCAGCGTTTGTTTGCATGCGAAAATAACCACATAGCTGGTCTCGGATCCCCAAACTACGTGCTCATTATTAAAAACACGGCTAGAAAGCCACAATTAGATACGTTTTTAGTAACAGTTATATACTAAATCCATTAGAGATGGATTTACTCTTTCCTCGACTCTAACTGCTCATGCTCTGCAATACTAATTTAGTATCGGATTAAATTAAATACGTTCAGGACATTACAGCAGCTATCATAACATTGAAGTTTTCTGACAGTCTCTAGGCACCTGGCCTCTGATTCCGCACTCTCCCGGAGATAACGTCGTAATCTCTCCAATTTGTTGCACGAGAGGGTTCAGTGCAATCCCGACTGTCCTACTGTCTGTTCTGTTTTTCTGTATATTTTCACTCAAAATGGCCGTTTTTGAATGATAAATTAAACATCCAATACAAATGGACAAAGGTTATGTATTATAAAACAGAAAATTTTCCACCGTACAATAAATAATTCATAGGAAATGGAAGTGACTGACAGCGGTTACCCAGCCGGATCGTGAGCGGTCTTCTCCTTCTGCCAGCGGTTATTCAGTGACTTTGTCGAATCGTGACCGGTCTTCTGCTTCTGCCATCGGTTACCCAGTGACTTTGTCGAATCGTGAGCGGTTTTCTGCTTCTGCCAGCGGTTACCCAGTGACTTTGTGGAACCTTGAGCGGTCTTCTGCTTCTGCCGGCAGTTACCCAGTGACTTTGCCGAAAATTGAGCTGTCTGGGTAACCCAATGACTTGGTCGAATCGTGAGCGGTCTTCTGCTTCTGGCTCGTCCACTATTTTGTTTGATCGAAAAACTGTTTCAAACGAACGTGAAGACTGAGATTTTGTGAGAAAGATCGGCATTGTTCCAATGGTTTTCAACTTTATTTGGAGCCATAATTGCCGTTTTGGTATTTCAAGAAATGTTCCTGTCCAAATCTTCTGAGCCTCCTGTTCACTGTTGCTTCGATAATAACGCCTTTAACGTCGTTTTCGGCGTGCGTCGGAAGGTTCGACTAAGCCAGTCCGGGGGAATGGCACACCAAAACGATGAAATCAGTCATCAGGAAAAGGGTGGAGAAGAGAAGACTTGAGGACACTGACAAGGAAACTGAAGGTGGCACAGAGGATAAGTCTTCAACCGAAAAGTGAATTGAAGTTTTGATTTTTTCCTTGTCTTTTTCCACAAGCATGATAATTTGTTCCCACCTTCAATGTTGATATTGACTTTAAAAGGAATCCTAATTTGAAATCTAGTTCGAGAGTCCTCTTCCATTTATATTAAACTTATTAATTACCACCAACACATTAAGTTTCTGAGAGTTCGTTAAGGAAATGATCTAGCCCCGGATTCAAAAAATTTGGTTACCCGAAAAATGGGTTTTTCCAGACAAAACGGTCCGCTCTTTTCAAATTAACTTCTCAGAACACAGATTAACAATGTTAATACTGACGCCTAAAACATCCAAAGAAAACGATGATGTATGGCCTTCGGTAGCCAGACTGTTTATGTTCAGCAGAGATAAATACCTTTCCCAACTCCTAGCTTGTAATGAGCTGTGTCTGGCAAAAATAATCGTTGTTGTTTAAATTAAAATCAGGATATACCCAGAGAGCTAACAATTGCAATAAAACAGACACACAGTTCAACGATAAACGCTTCTTGATTCGCGGTCTTCCTTCACGAAGCGCCTTCTTCACTATCGTGAAGAGTTAATTCTTCAAACCTTATTCTTAAAAAAAGAGCAACTGCGGTAACTACGCAATCGGTACGACTCGGACTGCTTCGTCTTCTGCTTTCGTTTAGTTGTTGTTGTTGTTGTTGCCCTTCTGAGATCTATTCGTCGCTCGTTGTTGGGTCCAGGGTTGTGGGGAGTTTCAGGAATATTGCTGTCTTCTTCGGTTGCTTCCAGAGATCGGCTGGGGTTAAGTTCGTAGGATTTGCGATGCAGTCGAACAGGTGTATAGTTGTGTGGCTTGTTTGCTGGCAGTCCGGGCAAAGTTCGCTTACTGTCGGGTCAATTCTGTTCATGTACGAGTTCAGGAACTTTGAGTAGCCGGATCTGAGCTGTGCCAGTGTTCTTCTTGTTGTTCTTGGTAATTCGGTTTCTTCTTTGGCAATTTTTGGTGGATTGTGTCCGAGGACTGCTGGGTATTCGTAGGTTTGTAAGGCGTCGCGTACCTCATTTGTGTGGATAGTTTTTAGCAGGTTTCTGTACTTCTTTTCGGTTAGAGGTCTATTGCTGTCGAGTAGAGGTTCAATGTATCTTTCTTCATATCGTGTTTGGAGGGTTTCTTTCATGAGTCTTGGTGGGTTCTTGGGTTCTTTCGTGAGTTGGTTTCCTGGGTGATCTGGCAAGTGGTTGGCGAGATGATGTTGTATCGTTCGCATTCTGAGGTGTCGTCTAACTGGTAGAACGGATGTTTCTTGGTGAAGGTGGTCTATGTGAGTCATGGCGTGGCATCCGGTGATTGTTCTCAGGGCGCTGTTTTGGACCTTCTGTAGTTTCTCGATGTTGCTTTCGGAGAGTGTGGGCGTTATCACAGCGGCGCCGTACTCAAGTTTAGAGCGAACAACGGCTTTGTAGGTCATGAGGAGTGTTTCCTTGTCGCTTCCCCAGTCAGTGCCGGCAAGCGCTTTCAGGGCGTTGTTGCGTTGAGAGCATTTCTTCGAAGTGTCTCTGCAATGGGCCCCGAAAGTGTGCATGGTGTCGAAAGTGATGCCGAGGATCTTCGCTTGGTTGTTCATTCTTATTTGTTCATTGTTTATCTTCACTTCAGGAACGGTTTTGTATTGGGCTGTCTGTGGTGTCATCAGCGTGACAAAACTCTTGTCAATGGAGATCTGGAGGTTTCGCTCTTCGAAGAAGTTCACTAGTTCTGCGAGGTACTCCGTTTGTTTTCCTGCCATTGCTGGTATGTCGGTGCCGAGAATGAGGGACGTGAAGTCGTCTGCGTAGGACTTGATCTTGATTTCGTCCGGAGGGCTAGGTGCGTCTGCGACGTAGTAGTTGAAAAGGAGTGGCGACAAAACTGATCCTTGTGGCACTCCAAACCGAACTATCCGTGCTTTTGAGAGAGAGTCGCGAAACAGTGTTCTTGCTTGTCGTCCTTGTAGGAAGTTCGCGAGCCATCTTTTGCTTTCGTTTAGTCTAAAATCTTGTTGAATTGGTCGTCTGCTTGCTATAAGCGAAACTGATGTTCTGCTTTTCACGGCTTTTCAATTATTGCCAAAAAAAATGGGTTGCTGTTGCCTTCATCACGTCGTGGGGCGCTCATCCTCTTCCCCGTCGTCGTGAGTTGTTGGGAGTTTCAGAAAACAGGCCGCATCGACGGGTCCGTCGTGTGGCTTGTAGAATCGCAGAGGCGGCATAGTTCTGACGATGACGGGTCTATTCTATGTTGACATGAGTTTAGGAATACGCTGTAACCACAGCGGAGCTGCGATAGTGTCCTCCTCGTCGTTCTTGGCAGTTTTTCCTCTGATTTGTCTATATTCGGGACTCGCGCGTTCAAGAATGCAGAGTCTTCGAAATTGGCGATCGTGACTTCTACTTCATTTGTGTGGATCTGTTTGAGCAAGCTTTTGTAATTGTCTTCTGATACAGATCTTGTGGGCCCGAATATGTCGTCGTCGTCTGAGTCTTCTAAGAGGGCTGAGATGTAACGCTCGTATCTGGAGTGTAATGTGGCCTTCATCTGTCGTCTGGTGGGAGTAGTGGCATTCAACAGACGTTGCCCAGGGTTTACTGTCAGATGATTCGCTAGCTGCACCTGCACCGAGCGCATCCGGATGTGTCGTCTGATGGGCAGGATCATGCTCTCACTGTGGAGGTGTCAATGTTGGTGCTCCGCTAGCTTCATGTGTTCATTCAAGGTGGGAAGGAGTCACTTTTCTAGAATTTTGACAGCTGGACAAAAAAAGGAAATTGGTCTGTAGGACGCACTTTCATCCGCAGGTTTGCCAGGCTTCAGAAGGGGCAAGACGATCGATGTCTTCCAAATGGCTGGTATCTGAGACCTCGAAATTGACGTGTTGAAGAGTTCTGTGAGGAACTGGAGATCACGTGGTCCTAGGTGCTTCAGATGGATCATTGTGATGCCATGGGGCCGGCCGCTTTGGAGCTCTACGCTTTCTTGATAGCTAGGCTGACTTGGGAGGCAGTGAAGGTCGGGCTGTCTGACAGAGAGCGTTTTTGGATCACTCTGGTGATCGCGCGGTAGTCTTTGGAGGTCTGGTGGGTACTGGTGGATGTGAACTGCTTGTTGAACTTGTTGGC